ATACAGAGCTGATTTGGTGAAAAATAGAATATACAAATCAAATATGGGATACTATGATATGCGTCTACCTCGTCTGAAATGACGTACATAAAGAAATTAATTCGACACATTTTATGAATTTTGAGGGCCGCGAGTATATCATAAACACAGATATACTTGCTCACTGATTTGTAAAGCTGACAAAATTGTAACGAATACCGTGCTACATAAAAGAAGAATACCTACCTAAGGTAACATGTTGAATTGGCAGGACTGATGGCCATGAAAGTGGCTACGTAGCCAGTGGCAATTAGTCGCCCACACACATTCACAAAATAAAGAGTAATTTATACAGCTTTTGAATAGTGTTTATCATGAAACCAGTCAGTGCCAAATCCGTTGCGATATTCTTGTTCATGATTTTTTGCTCCAAAGTTTTGATTGTTTAGGCAATTATCAAAACCATTTAATTATTCGAATAAGGTTGCCACGTTTTTGATATTGTTTTAATATATATAACGGGCTTTAAATGGCATCTTTATCACATATCCGCTTTTAAAATATTTGTCCGATTTGTCTTGAAAAATAATATAAATAGATTAATCCTAACATTAACCCATTTTGCGTGCTTTCCTCTTAAGCTTTTATCGACGGTAAGCTTACCTTCAAGATCTAACGCAACCTAAATAAAAACGCATATACAAAAGTGCATTCTCAGCATCTGGATACCTGAAAGGAAGTTACGGTGTCATGAACGATGCAGATTACTTTAAGGTCTGAGTTCCGATTTACGCATTTCAGAACAATAACAATAATAACATATCTCATGAGATTCAATACACTTGACTGTCTTCACTTCTGTGGGTATTGGATATATGCACCGTGTGCATTATGTGATGTTTTATTATATTCAAATGACAGGAAAGCGCCTTATAAAACGAATACATATTAAATACATATATTTGTGACCTACATTCTAAAGTAATAACGTATTGATATGTGAAATTCGTCAGCTATTTTAGTCGGGTGTCAGTATCAGTAATCACTAGTTTTACAGATAACGCAGTCTACACATTAAAAGTTTCAAACCACGTCAATTGAAGGTTAACGATTGACGGAGACCTAGAACAGCGCCATTGATATTAAAATATATGATTTATGGCTGATATGCACATTTCATATTATAAAGATTGAAAATCTAGATATGGTAACTCATTAAAAATGCGAACAAGTTTTGTTACTCGTTGAATGGCCTTAAATATGGATAGCTAAAACAATATTTAGGGTCAAAACTATTAGAAATATATCAGTATCATAACACTTTTTATTCAATATTGTGTTTTATTGTGTCATTCAAGATTAAAATAGCTTCATCTTAAATTATGTTTTTCGACATTTACAGATTGGTTGCGGAAATACAATTTATTCACATTGACTACAATTTTTATAAACTCTCTTCAAATGTGGTCTTCCGAGCTTAGTTTTTGAAATGGCCATCGATAGAATTGATACATTACTGGTCTGCGTAGACTGCTTAGTTTTGCTAGGTATGATAGACCGAGCTTACGATGGCGCTTTAGCCGTTCGACCGAAGGCTACAAAAGCCGTATCCAGTCCATATAAGTTTTATCATATACCAGACCATATTTCTATGTATATACGAATATACATTCACATGCAATGCACACACTATTCACTCCTTCGATGTGTAGGTAGACACTCAAATCGTTAATCCTTGAGCAGAACACTGTTATGCTACACTAAAGTGGTATGCTAATGATAGAATCCTGTTTGGCATACATGAATATTACACTACACCTTTATATAATTCACACTCTGAGCCCCCGAGATATCATCTTTTAAAATTAGTTTGATCGATTTGATGTTTGGAGTTTAAACGACATGCAATCATCCTATAGTATATGTAAATCAGAAGCTATCATAATATATACTGGTCCAGGAACATCGTAATACTTCTATTAAATGTGCGTAAATAGATGCTTTCGGTGAAAACAAGCCTTAGGCTGACTAGAGTTTAGATTTGTGGTAACAATATGTGTAAAAATACAAAATATTTAGTAAATCCCGGTTAATACGTAACCAAACTGATGTATAGACGTGCTACCATGCAATGCCCGGTATACATTTACTGTTTGTTGTTTGTGAAAACACTTTCACTTTTAATTGAACGTATCTTTACAGAATATACTGATCATTTTGAGTGATAACTCACACGTTAGTATTATTTAGCAATGTGTCATTTACAGATGTACGAGTTGCTGTTAATTTGCATTATGGTTTGATTAAGTATATAAGTTGAGTATTGAGAATACCTGTGGATAATTCACATCAGTATGATATTAATAAACATATCTAGTAAGCTGACTGTCTTCATGTCAACCATTAAAGTCAATAGAGAAAGCACAATAATAAAAGTATGACCACCGATGACAACATGTATTACTCCAATCAATAATACGATTCAGGATACAGTGTAATAATATCAGTAGATTAGTGTTTCCCTTCGAGATAGATATTCTAAGTACGATAAAAACGCTGCGATTGATTTTTTAATTATTTATAATGTTAGATTGTTATCATTCAAATAATCATTGCATAATGTAATTGTCATATCACTCACAACCCTTTAGGTATTTTCAAACCTTTCTGTGGGAAAATGTTCTATATATATATATATATATATATATATATATATATATATATATATATATATATATATATATATATATATCCTATCTAGAAATACACCCTCTTCGTTGGTTAAAAAACGGAAACGTCTTCCAGAAAACGGATTAAAATTCGTGATTGACACACATATCTAGAGAATCGACTAATCATTGCATTTCGCTCCACGCATATGGTGCATTAACCTTTAGATGTCCAAGATAAATGTTAGATCACCAACTTGTCCTCACGAGGCTGCAGCCAATAACATACTATTAAAATCGTGGTTTGAATATGTTATTCCATCATTCAATATATTGTAAGCCTTAAATTGAATCGCACATGTACAACTCGCGTTTAGTGTGCTGATCAGTCCAACTTATATTACTTTCTTTATTTGTCATATTGAATGAATGTGTAAAGTTTAAGTATTTTGCGCACTGTGTTTAATCATTACAAGGTGGTTTATATAATTCGCATCAGAAAAGTAATCAAATAAGAATGAATGACTCATATGAGCTGTATATATATATGTATGCGAGCGATGATAGCTTCACTCGACGCAAACAATCTATCCGACCGTAAAAGCGTTCATAAAGTTCACATTTTCCCATAATGAATATTGAAATAGGTCTGCGTAGCCGAGGTCTTAAAAGTCGCTGAAATTAATCTTTTATCTCGCGACACGCGTCTTCTTTGTGTTTTTTGTTGTTGTTGAAATTAGATTTACGACGTTATATTTGTAAAACTGTAGTTTATGTGCATTTATGTTGTGTGGAAATACCATTTTTTCCAAAAATGGGTTTTAGGTTAAGTGTTTTCGGTCCCAATTCAGTTCATAAAAAACTTGATTTCAATGCATATTGATATCGCATAAAATATTTATTTATATTTATTCCAGTTGTAGTAATATGCGCATCTGGAGAGGCAGTCAGAAAAATTATGTTAGCAGCCCACGACCTAGGGATGACGAAAATAAACAAAGACACTGGTCGCGCTGAATACGCTTTCTTCAACATACAGCTATTCGATAGTGCCTACTTCGGGGATATTGGTTGGAATAGGGGGGAGGACGGCGATGGTAGAGACGAGGATGCAAAGGAAGCCTACCGAGCCCTGATGACATTGACTCTCAGAAAACCTGATACCACTGAATATAACGACTTTGCCCGGGAGGTAAAACGCCGTGCACTTCGTGACTATGGGTTCGACTACGACAAGGAAAATGAAGACGTAAGTTGTCATCAATCAGTTCTGTTCATTTCCACTTCCCAACATAGAGAACAATCTACAATGCCTGTCTGTCTACAATGCTAAATACATACATTCAGACTGGATGTAGAGTTACAAATTCTCAAATCAGACAAGGCATATTTTTACGGTTTATACATTATTGCTCATGAATTATTGCATAGATTATCTCAATGGTATTATAGCATGCCCGTCAACAAAAGATCACCAACAATTTTGTTTTCGGTTGTGTGTCTTATAGGTAAAAAGAGCGTCTAAATGCAGTATATTGACTACACACGGATAAATTTGTATTCTAAAAAGTATTACTTAAAGATGGCGATAGTCTTTAGAATTTTAGTTTTAAATAGATATCCAGCATAACGATTAATAATCTTCACGTTATAGTAAAATAACATTCATTACAATAGTGCATTCTACGTTGTGATAATATTCTGTCGTGTATTTTCACTTCAAGGTCAACAGCTTTGTTGGCGCGTTTCACGACGCGGTTATTCTGTATGCCCTGGCGTTAAACGAGACGTTGGAAGAAGGTGGTACTCCCCGTGAAGGCCACATCATCACTGGTAAGATGTGGAATCGAACGTTTGAAGGTAGGTAACAATTGAAAAGTATTAGTTGCTATGACAACGTTTGAAATTAAGATGACCACGGCAGTTGTATTTCTACAAGTTACTGGAAAGAACGTATACATTCTCGATCGTCTCAGCTTAACGTCTTTAGCGACTGGTTCAAGTTTTCAAAATTATACGCGATGATATTAATTTTATACAAATATCAAGGAGTAATGTTTTATTCTTTTACACCATAAGTTACAGTAAAATATAACCATTGTGCAAATAGACCTAAATGCAAATGTTCACCGAGATCGCGTCCACCGAGATAACGTTTACAGTGAGACAATCATGAGATTCAAATAGTGTCAAATTTCATTGTCATGTAAGTAAACAGAACAGGAGAGAGTGGATCACTTGGAACGGCAATTTACGTCTGAAATATATTAACGCACATTATTAATAATAGTCTTACATGCTTTCATTTCAAACAATTTCTGCATTTTATCTAAGTGTGTTAATCGCTGGAAATCGGCTGTGTTAACTGAATGTCATATTGAAATTGAAGTCATCAAGATCATAGGAATGTTTCTAAATCAACTTTGAACGTTTGGTTGACATCATGTGTTTTATTGTAATCAATATTTACCGGCGAGGGGCACATCGTTACTGTTTACACTAATAATAAATTAGATGAAATGTTTTATTTTGCAGAGGATTACAATATCATTTTCAGATATTCAATATTTCATGGCAATTTACTATACTTCTCCTTTTTATGTGTGAAAATTCAAACCTGAGTAAATTATTTTGATTTTTCGAGAAGAATAGCAACCACTAAACTGTTTGTGGTATGACATGAGTGTGATTCGTCAAAAGAGTATCATGGTTCTTTGGAAATAGTGCCCCAATGACGTCACAAAATTGTACAGATTGCTATTGATTAATTGACTCGAATATTTGCCTCGAAGGTTATTTTGACTTAGGAGCCGATCAAACGATAAATAAGCTCAGTTGGACAGATGACATATTTTTCGTGCTTTAGTTGGAATTTTTTGTGATGGTCAATTTATTAACTTTTCCCTTCTCTGACTCATTGGTAATTTATGTAGCTCTGCGTGCATATACCCTCATGTCGCATTTGGTACTTGTACAATGTGTGCTTTTCAATGGAAGGTGTAGACAATGATAAACTGTAATGTAACGTAGCAGATACCATTCAATGATATAAATATAGTTACTACATATTAAATTCATGATGTACATTTAACTTTTTTTTTTCAAATAGGCTACTAATCAATGTCAATTAAGACGGTTTTTGTTTACCATCGAACTTATGTTAACCATGCATATATTTGCAATATACCATGGTTATGGCATTCATAATTAGGTCTGAACAAATAATAGCAAGTATAACTATATGACATTTGTAAAACTATTATCATGGTGGTAAATTACTAATTAAAAAGGTAAAATCAAATTGTAGATATTAGAGTATTTAAATAGTACTAAGTAAAGAGAAGACACAGGTTGGAAACACGCAAACGCTCGTTTGAATACGTTCTTGTCCAGTGGCATACCACGCAAGGCAACAGTTTATTGCTCAAATATTCATTTGATATTACAAGTTTGAATATCTGTTTTAGATTAACGCAACGTTTTGTAGAGTTTAATAGATTTATGCATACTTTTACTTGCTCCCTGTGCAAAGTATACAGACAAAGGACAGAACGGTACATTTTTACTTCATTGATCTTTCGCGAAATGATTTTCGTATAAAAACATGCATGCGCGGGTCGATCGCGATTTATTTGTGTTATTGACATTATTTATAATGAGTTATTGATGCATGCATGTATTGACCACGACATACGACCGAATAATTACGTGGCTTTCAAAGAACGCATGTACAAATACACTCAATATAATAGAAATAATTATGTAACTGTGCTAGGACCTATTGTAACACATTTTGATCTTGTATTTTCTGATTATCATAAATAACAAATATTAATAAACAGACATGTATTAACAAATTGCAGATAGGACCTACCTTTGGTACATATATACATGCATGGTTTAATTGATAGCATTATTGTCTGCACATTTTATTTCCCCCTATGAAAATCCTAGAGATATTTGGCTAACATATTCTTTTTTCAAAGTAGTTATTTGCAAATGTTTTTTTCCTGATTTGATGTTCCCTCATATTTCGAATGGCAGGTCCCTTCATATCGGTTGAAAATGAAAACAATGTCGCCTAGGGGGAATATATTACATCTTTGTGCTAACCTCGTAATCCAAAATAATTTTACACGTTCATTGTAATGTCTGAGTACAATATTTACATCAGGATAAACTCTGGTAAGAATATAAATAATTTTACACGTGCATTGTAATCTAATGTCTGAGTACAATATTTACATCAGGATAAACTCTGGTAAGAATATAAATAAACAATATATTCTACTCAAGATTATATAGAAGCAAGGATTAATTCACTTTTCAAGTTGATGCAATTTTCCACTCCAGTAAACTTCACAAGGAAGGGAATCCACGGTTGCGTTAGACAAAGTGACACCAAGCTATTATTGTCAAAGTGATTCCAGATGAACTATGTCAATAATGAGAGAAAAAATGGTGAATGATTGTGTGCAGTGACACGATGACACAGAGGCGTCTATGAAACACGACATTGCGGTCTATGAATGCATATCATTTCTGTCGCACGAAAACAAACAATTCGGCCATCGTTCCAGTTTTATATTGACTTATTATACACACACATGCAAGCGCGAAGAAATCTTTCTGTGGAAATAAGAGCTGTGCTGCGTGGATGAAACAGCCGATATCATAGTACCCGAATACATTTCTTCACTTTGTATCAAATACAATAAAATCTAATAATAAACGCGATTCTAGTTTTGGCCAAATTATTATTTTTAACTTTATTTCAGTTGCGGTAGTTTTTTAATGGAAAATGCGTCACATTCGTCGAATGTCTGATGAAAACAGACATGGCGCTGTGAAGACGTGGAGTAACTTTTATTTACACAACGCATCGTAATTGCAAATATTTGCCATTCACATTAAATCTCACAGCCCTACACATTTGACATATGTTTAAACATTTACAGGCATCAGCGGAAATGTGCGGATTGACGAAAATGGAGACAGGGACGCTGATTACTCTCTTCTTGAAATGACAGATACCATCAATGGAACTTTCTCGGTGAGAGCCAATCACATAAACTGTTTAATATTATATCATTTAATGCAGGCAATATCTAGATGGGAAAATAATAGCGTGTACACGTGTGACTGAATTAATGTTTTCATTGAGTGAAAATTGTTACTTGTATATTCACATGTACCACGCCACGTCATCTCTAGAAATAATTGTATTACAAATTGGCATAACGATGTGCAAAACAAACGGAATTATTAAACTAATCCGATAACCCTACATTTATTGAATAAAGTTTAGCTATTTTATTTCTTGTAAAGTTATCTTGCCCTGAAAACACATATTGATGTATATTGGTAGGTTAGTGCCATTCAAACGAAATGCCTTTACTCAGCCGTCGCTTCTATTCATGTGACAGGCATATCCATGTTGACATCATGTTTTGATACCGATGCCTTTTAACTACAATCCCAACATCGGTTCAACAAATATTTCACAAACGACCTAATGTATAGATTTTTTGTCACATATGTCATACATTAGTGAGCCAGTATGACTCAGGGCATGGACGGATTAAGGTCAGTGTAACATAGTGGGCTCAATTAGTGACTGTTGTCATTGAATCGTTGTTTACGTTGCTCGTAAACATCTATCAGTTGTAATTAGAAACAAAATGTGAAACTGATATACAGGTATCTATTATATATATGTATCACTCTCAATTCAAAGTCTATGGTATTTGTTCTTTTTTGGAATTAACCATATGCATGAACGTACAAATCACACGCAAGTATCATATTTAATATATAAGAAGGCACTCCAAAAGTGAACGTCTCTACCACACACATAAAAAATATAATCTCTGGAATACATCCACCATATTGTATATCTACTTACGATCATATTTACGAAAGCGTCCAATATTTGAAAATGAAAATTAAGTCTTTAACGGAGAATAATCCGTTATAGCAACTCCATCCTGATTTTTCTTGAATCTAACTGCTTGGTCATAATTACAAAACAAAAAATAAAATTAAGAAGAATACTCATTAACAGTTTGAGTCATTCAATTCATTACTGCCATCATGTTCAACGAGATCCAAATTTCAACCGATTGGTGTAAATGTTAAATAGAAGGTAATATGAAAAAAAAACGGAATTCTTGTTTCCATAGCAATAAGATGCGTATCTCAACAGAATCTGATCGATTGGTGGCGTGTCATAGCCATCCTCTCTGAAAATTGTTATAATCATCCTTCCATAATTGTTTAAAGTAATAAATGAAAAATGATTCTCAACCTGTGTCCATGGCAACCAGATGCATATCTCTAACATAACTGTATAGTATATTACGGATAAGTTAAATCACTATATTTAGAATCACAATAAAGAACTGCATAAAACCCGATTCAGTTAACGAACAGCGCATCTTGTCAATTATTGAATATGAATTACACAAATGAATAAATACTGTGTTCCTCGATTAATGAACATGAGTCTACTTCATTTCGTCTTGATGAGTAAATATCTTTCTTCAGAGACACACCGTTCATTCCTGGATTGTATAGACTTGTGAAGCATTTTTCACATCAGCTGGAGATATACCAGATTATACATTTCCATGTTTTTTGGTCTTTGTAGTTCATCAGTAAAAATTATACCTCAGGCTATTTCGACTATTCCCACTAAAATATGCCCTTCAAAAAGTTATAATTTTCCAAGTATCCATTCACAGCTAAGGAGCGAAACAAGCTTCTCAAACTATTAAGTGGGATGACACCAGTACAATTCTATTATTTCCATAGAAGCGATTGTTCGCCTTATTTGAACATGCTCGTCACA